TTTGTCATCATCAGGTACATGATGTTATGTTAAACTTATATTAACGTTTTTCTTCATTACCCATTCAAGCCGTTTCCAACCATTATTAGTCTCAAAGTGCGTTCCTCGTCATCGAATTTACTACAAATATATTCTAAACTAGTCATGGATTCTAAACTAGTCATGGAAGAGTGAAATTAGCAGTTATTTCAACTGGTAATAAAGTAATACTCTTCTAACGAAGCCGACATGGCAAAATGTTGAGAGAAAAAAAAATACAATTTTTACTGAATAAAATTTGTTCGTTTTGTTCCGAGAAGAATGGAAACTGCTGAAACGAGTGTTAGACAATATTACGTTTATGAGAAACGAGTGTTAAACATTACTATGTTTATGAGAAACGAGTGTTAAACATTATTACGTTTATGAGAAACGAGTGTTAATTGATATTAAATTTATGAAAAATGCTATTCACATGAACAATCTAAATAGCCATAAAATTTACGTAACGTTAAATGAAGTGTTTTCTAAACTAGTATTGAAATATTTAGAATTTATTCTTTTTTTTTCTAATTTACATCAAACATCTGAAACGTTATGTTTAGATAAGTTAATTCACTTCAGGTAGCTGAAATCCGTTAATCTCAGACAGGCATAAGTTACTTCATTTCAGGTAGCTTAAATCAGTAACCTACAGCTACGTTAATTTGCTTCAGACAGCTGAAATCCGTTATGATCAGATTAGCTTATGTTACATCATTTCATGTAGCCGAAATCCATTAAATCCCAGTTAAAAAGACATTTAACTGTTTGTAATAATATTACTTTATTTATAGATAAAGTTAACTTGTTAGTAAATAAATAAATGTTTAGTGGTTATAAAATCTGGGAAATTATTAGAGTTTTCAAACTTTTTTGTGACAAATATTACAACCTATTAAATAATAAATCCTTTATTTTTAATAACGAGGACGCTAGTATTCTAAGTTCACATGGATGCTATAAATACCAACTTTAATTCTAATACCTTCATTTAATTTGTGACTCTTACAATATACTGGACGCGGAAAAACAAAATTCAAGCAACTGGTTTTGTCTCAGTTTATACTTGAATGATGTTGTTAATGGAGGAGAATGGATGTTTAATTATTACTGAACTATCTAGGTAAGGCTTTGGTAGTTCTTGATATTAAAAAGGTTTGGCTTTGGTTTTGATTTTTATAATTTTTCATCATTGTTATGTAGTGTTAAATTTTTTCCTATACTTATTTGATGCAATTTAGTAAATTTGCCTGTTATATATACATATGTACGTATATAATTATTGTAATAACAGGTTTATTTCGATGCGATTGTATCGAATACTGAAGTGGAATCCAGGTCGGATTAACCTAGCGGACTTCAAGACACCAAAAGTGCAGCGAACTTGCCTACAATGTACACAGACTCAGGAATTTCCGAGAACAACAGTTCTAAGATCTTAACGTGCTATTCACTGAATGATGTCTCGAATGAAAAAATAGAAAAAAAAAACAAAACTTGCACGAGAATCAGAGCTACAGCACACGTGTAAATAAACGTTTTAATGCGGACAGGTCAAGAAGTTTTATATATAATATAATATAATTACATACGCTAGCTGACGATCGTATTTTAAACGAAAGGAGACAGAAAAATTATTTTCTGAAGAAAATTAGACAGGTTAGGATGAATGTGAAAACAACAACAACATCTGACAGCTCACATGATTTTGATCACAAATATTAGGCCTATTAGCTTCCACTGTTTCGCCAGCTTTTAGCATTTAAACCGAAATAAGTATATACATAGAAATTCAGGTAGAGTAGTACACATTAGAATGAAAGCGTGTTCATTTCAGCTGTTTGTTATGTCAAGACAGAGCTTGATAGAGCCGTAAGGTGAAACGTCGAGGAAATAAAGGATTTTCATTGGATATTGGTTGCTTCTATTTATTAGATAAAATGTAAACGTAGCAGGTGGTTGTTAAATTTCAAGGCTGTGAATTTATATCGTATGTAAACACAAAACTTAACAGTGATGGGATTGACCAACAAAGAACAGTACATATATATAACTTTTATTCATTTGATATATGTATTTTAAATGTTGTCCAATTTAAATTTCCTCTAAACACTAATAACAAAACGCTTCTTGTCTTCCTTTGTCATAAGGTAAATTAAACACTTGTTAAAATTCGTTGACAATCTTGATTTCGCTTAAACAAAAACACTAAATATCTACAGTTTCTTTCAACTTAATGAATTCAACGGTAAATATAAACTTGTTATGAGAGTGTTAATATCAGGATTTTCACACTTAATTTCAATGAATCAAGGAGGTTTAATACCCTTGGTTTCTACTTTTCTTCCTGTAAACTCGAAGATCTCGACGTTTATTGCGACGAAGAAATGTTTTCAAAGTTTTGATTGGAGTAACTTTTAAAACCATCGAATCAAATGTTGTCAAACGATCGATGGATTTATCGCCAGCGAATAAGCTCATGTTACTTGAAGTGTGAACATCCCACTGTTCGGTTTAGCTCCGCCTGTGAGAAATGCTAGATAAATCGGTATGAAACACGAGGGAAGATGTTAGTACTGCATTCGACATATCTCATAATATGCAAAACCTGAAGAAAATTATCATATTTTGGTCTGTTTCTGTATTTCATACTTTTCAAGTCATTTCATTTACCCAAGCATATTGGTAGATAACAAATGCGTCAAGTATGGATTTCAGTTCTTTAGGAAATCTCCGAAGCTTAGTTTCCGGGGAAGTGGGTGATCACTACCCTGCGCTTCATCTTCCTAGGTTTAGCTTCAGCGTAGAACAGATGGTAGCGGTGTGCGAAGCTCTTGAAGAGAGCGGTGACGTTAGCAGACTAGCTCGTTTTCTTTGGTCGTTACCAGTAGCCTATCCGCTCAGTGCTGAAGCTGACACGAATGAAGCTGTGCTTCGCGCCAGGGCGATAGTGGCCTTCCACTGCGGTAACTTCCGAGAGCTATACAGTATCCTTCAATGTCAACGATTCTCTAGAAAGTCCCATGCTAAGCTGCAAAATTTGTGGGTCCAAGCCCACTATCTTGAGGCCGAGAAAAAGAGAGGAAAGTCCCTTGGTCCCGTTGATAAATATCGTGTACGAAAAAAATTTCCATTTCCGCCTTCCATCTGGGATGGGGAACAAAAAACGCATTGCTTCAAAGAATGTGCTAGGAACTTACTACGTGAATGGTACATTAAGGATCCTTACCCTAACCCTGATAAGAAACGATATCTGGCTCAGGCTACGGGTCTCACCACTATTCAAGTGGGCAATTGGTTCAAGAATCGCCGTCAGAGGGACCGAGCGGCTGCAGTAAAAAATAGGTAAGAACAGCTTAAGAACAAAACACTTCAGTCTTATGTGATAAATTTTTAATAAGTAAAAGTTTGCCAAACATGCGTGTTTGAGTTACTAAAAGATAAACACTGGTAGTGTAGGTGGTGGTTTTACTAAGAGATAAATACTTGTAGTCATGATGATGTTTTATTAATAGATAAACATTGGTTATGTAGATGTTGATTTAACTAGCTAGTAGGTAAACCCTAGTAGTCAAGGTGGTGTTTTACTAAGAGAGAGAGAAACACTGATAGTGATTTTAGTAATAGTAGTTTAGGCGATGATATTACGTAGAGATAAACGCTGGTAGTTTAGACAGGGAATTTACTAGGAGATAAACGCGGGTAGTTTAGACGATGTTTTACCAGGATATAAATGCTGGTAGCTTATACGGTGTCATACCGAGAAATAAACACCGGTAGTTTGTAAGGTGTTTTGCTATGAGATGAACACTGGTAGTTTAAACGGTGTTTTACTGAGAGATAAACGCTGGTAGTTTAGACGCTAATTTTACCGAGAGATAAACACCGGTAGTTTGTCAGGTGTTTTGCTATGAGATGAACACTGGTAATTTAAACGGTGTTTTACTGAGAGATAAACGCTGGTAGTTTAGACGGTGATTTTACTAAGAGATAAACGGTAATTTTGCTGAGAGATAAACGCTGGTAGTTTAAACGGTAATTTTACTGAGAGATAAACACCGGTAGTTTGTAAAGTGTTTTGCTAGAAAATGAACAATGGTAGTTTAAACGGTGTTTTACTGAGAGATAAACGCTGGTAGTTTAGACGGTAATTTTACCGAGAGATAAACACCGGTAGTTTGTAAGGTGTTTTGCTATGAGATGAACACTGGTAGTTTAAACGGTGTTTTACTGAGAGATAAACGCTGGTAGTTTAGACGGTGATTTTATTAAGAGATAAACGCTGGTAGTTTAAACGGTAATTTTACTGAGAGATAAACGCTGGTAGTTTAGACAGTGAATTTCTCAAACTGTCACCAGTAACAGTATATTTGTAGAGTTTACTTTAATGTAAGTGATACGTTTGTTTCTTCAGTGAAATGAAAATGCAGTGTAAATAATCTAATTTTTCTTATGTGACGTTGTAAAGGTAAGTAAAACAGCATTCAGAACAAACAAATTAACACAGTGACTTAAAATTTTTTAAAGCAGCGTTAGCTAAGGAATGACAGGCAGTAAAGAGAGTATGGATTTATTACTTGGAAAAATGCTTATACAAAAGAAATAGGTAAGAAGTGGAAGTTGGAGAAAATCATTGTAGTTAAACACTTTGTAAAGACATGTAGGAAACTGAATATAATATTGAGTAATTTGGCAATTGTAGGTGGTTGCATCTCGAACCGGCTGCGAAGATAGAGTTATATAACAACTGGATATACTTCTCGATCAGAATGTCAATAAATGCTCGAATTGTATACTGTACCTTTTGGGCATCCTCTGTAATGTCAATAAAACCACTTTTGGTTTGGAATTGTAGCATGCCATGGAGTGTCAATAAAACTACTTTTGGTTTGGAATTGTAGCATGCCATGGAGTGTCAATAAAACTACTTTTGATTTGGAATTATAACATGCCATGGAGTGTCAATAAAACGACTTTTGGTTTGGAATTATAACATGCCATGGAGTGTCAATAAAACGACTTTTGGTTTGGAAGGATGGCATGCCATGAAGTGTCAATAAAACTACTTTTGATTTGGAATTATAACATGCCATGGAGTGTCAATAAAACGACTTTTGGTTTGGAAGGATGGCATGCCATGAAATGTCAATAAAACTACTTTTGGTTTGGAAGGATAGTGAAGGTGATTTCCTCTGCTTGAGACACCACGGAGTTTAATATCAACTTTATTTATACGGTTAAAGTACGTATGTGTTTTTTTTCTTTCTTCTGGAAATTCAAGTTCCAATAGATGTGAGAATCACAAATAATTGAGTAAAAAGGCCAAGTCATCTTAAGTACATCACTAAACAAATCGCTCCATTTTCTGCAGACGTTGTCTAATTTAACTCCTGTATTGACTCGAGGGTAAGATGTTTTCAAAATTTTGAGCAAAAGAAACATGTTAAAATAGCTGGTAGAATTAGTCCTGATACTAACTGTAAGATAGTTTTATATCAGCAAAAATGGTCTAGAAAGTCAGTAAAAGTTCCAAGACAGAAATAATAAAATAGCGCGAAACAAGACAACGGAAAAGTTGCTCCTTCTTTCATATTAAAATAGGTTGGATGGCTAGTTATTCTAGACAGACAATGCCCCTTCCATACTTAGCTTGAAACTGGCCAACAGGTGTCTTTAGTATAGCTCTGTTTAGAGTAAACAACTACAATGTGGTTTGGTTTATCTGGAAAACTCGAATCTTATTAAATTTTAGTGGTGGAACACGTGTTAGAGCTCTTTAGAATTGTTTCCATTCTGGTTGGTGGAATTGATCTCATAACCTAAAACATCTCATTAAAAAGTAAAGAAACATGTCTTAGTTTCTGTTGACGATGGAGGGATGTCCAGAAACAGATTGTATCTAATTCATGATTTCTGTTGAGGCCTAGCTTTAGATTTCTCAATTGTAGCGCCATATTCCTCATTTTCCATTTTCTACTTTATGTATAAATTTCCAGTTACTGTTATGTCTGAAAGTAAATGTGGTGAGTTTTATAAAATGTAAGCACTGCTCATATACATTACCTTCTCAAAAGTATCCGGAAACCTGGCCCGTTGAACATATGAAATAGCCCTTCCAGCATGTTCTTGGGGATGATCATAGCGAGAGGAAACACAATGACACACTAGGCACATTCTTGAGGGAGATCTTAACAAAAAGAAATACAGTGACACACTAGGCACATTCTTAGGGGAGATCTTAACAAAAAGAAATACAGTGACACACTAGGCACATTCTTGGGAAGATCTAAAAAAAAGAAATACAGTGACACACTAGGCACATTCTTGGAGGAGATCTTAACAAAAAGAAATACAGTGACACACTAGGCACATTCTTGGGGGAGATCTTAACAAAAAGAAATACAGTGACACACTAGGCACATTCTTGGAGAAGATCTTAATAAAAAGAAATACAGTGACACATTAAGTACATTCTTGGAGGAGATCTTAGCAAAAAGAAATACAGCGACACACTAGGCATGAAGATTAATAATGTTCAAAGTACGCAAATATGGGAAAACGTCACTAATTATGTGAACTCGAGAAGGGAGAAATTATATGTTGTTAGATATGTGGAAACTTCGATAACTAAATCGGTTGTATCGCTCAAGTATTCACAATGTACGATCTTCTATGTATGAAACTATTCAATGATATCAGGAAATTGACCTACGAACATTTAAAATTTCAGGTCAACCAATTTTGCTGTTACAGTGGGATGAATGAAGCGTTTATAGTATTTTTATCTACCATAAATCAGTTTTGTAACAAACCCGCAAGGATTTTGTTAGATCTAATGTAACCACACTCTAATTAGGACAGTTTCTGAAGCTTTTGCAGCGTTCTCTCCAAACACTCTAATTAGGACAATGTGAAGTTTGTGCAGCGTTCTCTCCAAACACTTCAATTAGAACAATGTGAAGTTTGTGCAGCGTTTTCTCCAAACGCTTCAATTAGAATAGCATGTAAAGTTTGTGCAACGTTCTCTCCAAACACTTGAATTAGAACAATGTGAAGTTTGTGCAGCGTTCTCTCCAAACATTTCAATTAGGACAATGTGAAGTTTGCGCAGCGTTCTCTCCAAACATTTCAATTAAGACAATGTAAAGTTTGTGCAGCGTTCTCTCCAAACACTTTAATTAGAACAATGTGAAATTTGTGCAGCGTTCTCTCCAAACACTTCAAGTAGGACAATGTGAAGTTTGTGCAGCGTTCTCTCCAAACATTTCAATTAGGACAATGTGAAGTTTGTGCAGCGTTCTCTCCAGTTATGTAGGTACCTTAGAAAGGGACGCAATCCCTGTCAGTATTGGTGGTGGCTATTTTAATGTAAACGCATTGATAATATACATGAGGAATTTTCTATAAACTAAATTTTGCTGTTAATGTGGTGCATTGTTTTCTTATTGCACCCACTAGTATTTTTCTGAGAAGCAAATTTTGATTGATCTAATGGTTAATTCATCAGAATATTAACAGGTGGCAGCGAACTTCCTGTAACACATATTTTATGGTTGTATATATGGCGAACTTTCTCATATGCTAATGTTGATATAATATGTGAGAAGTTTTCTAAAGATCAAACACTGATAGTATACATGCATAATTTCATAGAAGCTAACCTTTATTAGTAAAACGTGGTGGTTTTTCCAGCTATCTAGTAAATTTTGGTATTATACCTGGTAAACTTTTAGAATGTAAACTGTGACTGATTACATATGTGATAACATTTCTAGACTATGATGATTGGCAGGGTGGTAGATTTCGTATTCGTGCATTATCGAATCATGGAAGTGCAATATCTATATACATATTTTAATGAAAACACAAAATTGTGATCTGAAGCCAACTGAGCAATATTCTCTTTGAAATTCAGGTTTCAAAAAAAAGAAAAACTATTGCTAAATAATAGGATGTTGTATCATTCAGAAAATCAACAATTTTTTGCTTATTTTATTAACCCTATAATATTAGCACCATAACAAGTTCTAATCGTTTAGAAAATCGTCCTACATCATCGGCTTAAATGTATGAAACGAATAGAGTCAAACAAAGAATTTATTAAGCCAACGAAATAACCTGATTACTTCGACACTATAATTTCGTCCATTTTATCTTCATCTGATAATTATTTATTTATTTACATTGTTAAACTTAACATGCTTAAAATAAATGCAGATGTAACTTTTTTTATCTATTGGATTATAGTGAATTGATTTTTTGCTTAAAAACTAAATTTTTTTTTTTCACTTGACTGGAAAAGGAGTTTCGTTTGATACTTATAAATTACACTTGACTGGAAAAGGAGTTTCGTTTGATACTTATAAATTACACTTGACTGGAAAAGGAGTTTCGTTTGATACTTATAAATTACACTTGACTGGAAAAGGAGTTTCGTTTGATACTTATAAATTACACTTGACTGGAAAAGGAGTTTCGTTTGATACTTATAAATTCTTTCCCTTGAAATAAATATTTTTGTCTTCTTTAAAGTATGTAATGAAGGAAAAGAAAGAAACTGAAATTTTGCTTTACAGAAAAAAACTTTTTTGTTTAGAAATGTAAAACCTGATTCAATCCTAATTTGATTTCTTAAGTACTGGTTTTACGTTATTATAATCACTGAGATTGATTGATTTGTTCTAAATACATTTCTGATGTGCTAACGACCATTGACGATAATTAATTGAATACAGTTTAGTTTGGTCGTTTTATATGATTCACAAGCAGTTGTGATAGTTTTTGTACATGTATTTAACTCCGTTAATTAATTACTGAATTGTTCAATGACTTACACATGAACTGATGAGCTGACTTTGTAGCGTCACATTATTATTTTGAGGATTTATTTTCACAATATACTTGAGTTCAAGTCAGGTCGGTCACACGCGACTTTTGTATCAACACCTAAGCTGGTGATTTTCTATTTGATTATATTAAGTTTATAAAGGGGAGGAAACAACAAAGATTGATTGGCTGAAATTCCTGTTTTTCTAAATCATCTCAATATTTCTAAATGATCTGAGGGTTGTTTGAAGAACTTCCAGCGAAGTAGAGTCGCTTAGTCATGAATCTCAAACTAAATAACCAAACTCAAAATACTGAGCTTTTTATTTGTTAGGCAGTAAGATCACTCTACGGAACTGCCAGAGCAAGATATATATAACTTCTAAATTATGCTTTGAAGTGTAGCTAATGAGGATATACAACGTGCATAGTAAGGTATTGAATAAAGATAAATAATAGTATTATGAGCCTGCTAATTAAAGCAATTGTTAAAAGTTAGAAAAAAGACGTATAAATCCTCAAAACCTTTTTTTTTTTTTGTTAATGGATTAAGAATTATTTCCTATGCAATGCAGCGAAAGATAGAGGAAAACTACCTTAACGATACTGTGAAATAATTAAGATAATATTTAACTTTACAGTCGAATTTCTTAATATTTTATTGCTTTCAAATAGCATGCGAGTTTTTCAACTCTAAATATAAATACTTTTTGTATCATGAAAATATTAACAGAGTCCATCTTAAAGGGAGAAAATGAACGTGAATCATGCCTGACAATGATATTAACAATTTCTTTGCATATTCTTACCACGGATTTTGTTTCTATGAAGTGGCCGACACAAAGCTGTCAGTAAAAGTGCTATAGATCTATAATATTGAAATACAGCAGATAGGTTGCTTATACTTAACGCCAGGTTTGTTCATTACATACTTCACTATTACAACGTTACTTTGCTTTGATTGACTCATCATAAAATAGAGGCTGTACTTGTGAAGAATAATTACGACTTAATTACATAATACATTTTACAACCTTACTATAGGATTACCAGCTCAATATGAATTACATATAGTATTCCTGAATACTTCTTATTACACTGCTTTTCTCTTAGCAGCCCAACATGAAGTTAAGAAATATGCAACATACTGCCCACTTCCTTTACCGAAATGTATTACTCCAACATTAATATTTGTTTTATAGATTGTTTCACCAGTCTCAGTACATGGCCGACGCCAGCACCAGCCGGGCAGAGAAGCTGGAAAACAACACCCTTCATCAACAAAGTGTATCTCATCGCTCCTTAATGGTTGAAAATTCGATGTCATCACGTACTTTAGATAGAAATAAAGATCAAACATTCTACGATTCTAAACGCTTAGGTATCATATCAAGTATAGCTTCATCTAACTTTGACGAAAGTTCCAACAAAGACGTTTACGAAACAAGAAGTAAAAGAGATACAAGGGTTTTTGGAAGATCAAAATATTTGAAATGAATTACAGTGGATCATCGAAAGACGAAACAGTAAATAATGAAAGAGTTAGAGCGCTATCTAGCAGCAAACTTTCATAAATGTTAAAAAAGTGTTTGTGAATAATAAGTAAAAAAATTTTTAAACTAAATTTCAAATATATTTAATGCTCAGAAGTTATGTTAACAAAATTATTTACTTGCGTTTCAACGACCCGCTAACTTTATTTTCTGAAACTTGTACATTATAGACGTATTTCTGAAAGTGTGGGAAACACGGTTAACAACAGTGCTTTCCAGATGATGATCTAAGACAGAATAGTCACAGTGGGTTTTTGTGGTTTGTCTATTATTTACAATCAAGTTAATTGCTATTAACTGTAGTTGTTATTAAACATTTTAACGACTCTTCTGGTAAAATTTATTACAAAATTAGTTGGCTTATTTCATGACCATCAGATTTATAATTTTACATTAAGAATTTTTGTTTGTAGTTAAGCACAAAGCTGTACAATGGGCTATCTGTGCTCTGCCCACCACGGGTATCGAAACTTGGTTTCTAGCGTTGTAAGTCCGCAGACATACTGCTGTGCCACTCGGAGGCCATTTAGAAGATCACACTATAGTAGGAAATATTTGTTTATTTAGTTCATTTTATCATTACTTAATACACCTTTGGTAACTTACACTTTGTTTTTAAAACTGCTGTAAAATGTTCGTTTCACTTAAATTTTAGAAATCTCAGAAAGATATGAATCCAGTGAATGTTCTGGTACAATATTGTCTGTAAGGCTAGAACTACACATTTAAAATTATTTATTGTAGGTGCAATAACTGCTCTGTCACAATTGTAGAATATTTATAAGTATAGTATTACAGAACTTTAAAAAATTCTCAGTGTTTTCATATGCACGTGTATATATTCTTATATCGTTGCATATACAGTTCATAATAGTGTAATTTCGTCTTTATTGTGTGTTAGTTAATGAAACCCGTGTTTTTACTGAAATCTATATAATTGATAATTAACACGTGTTTGTTATTAAGATCTACTAAAAAGTAACAAAACACGTCTATTGTTAAAAGTATTTATTATTCTTAACTTTGTTTAACGCAAACTGGAATTTATTCGGAGACATTTATATAAACTTAAATAAACGCACGACCTGTATCTCCAGAATGTATTTTTATTAGCTCAATTAGCACTGGATTAGTGAACTAACAGTGAACGTGATATAGCTCGTGATTTGATTTAGGCTTATAGAAATAAACTATTTGTTGGTGTGTGAAATATATGTAAGTGCTTTGACGTAAGAAAACATTATTATTATTGTTGAAAGTTATATAAATGTAGTAAGTTACGTGTTTATTAATAAACCTTGTATACATGTAAAAAAACGTGTTTGGTACTGAAACTCATCGGAGTGTTTTGATTAGAAAACATTTGTTTATCACATGGTCTTATACAAATGTCACAAAACACGTGTTCGTCGCTGGTCCTATATAAAGGTTCCAAAACATGTGTTCGTCGCATGGTCTTATACAAATGTCACAAAACACGTGTTCGTCGCTGGTCCTATATAAAGGTTCCAAAACATGTGTTCGTCGCATGGTCCTATACAAATGTCACAAAACATGTGTTCATCGATGGTCCTATATAAATGTACTAAAACACGTGTTCGTCGCATGGTCTTATATATATATGTCACAAAACACGTGGTAATTACTAAAATCTATATCTAAATATAACAAAATACGTGTTTGTTGCTAAAACTCATGTAAGTGATTTGATAAGAAACTAACTAAGTAATGTCTAACTTTTTTATTATCTTAGTTAAAGTTATTTTCAGTTGTTCTTTCATTGAACATTCAATAAAGCAAAATTCTAAAGTACATGGTTCCACAAACATGTTAATTACTGTTTGATTGATTCGAGAAATTAAGCTCAACCACGGGACAGTGCTATTAAAATTTCTGTCATTTCTAAAACGTATACGAAATAAAACATATATACGAATGAAACTGAAATGAGTTAATATTTATTCAAGTTAATTATGCATGTAATGTTTTCCAACACATGGATTTGTTTGTTATTAAGCACAAAGCTACACAATGGGCTATCTGTGCTCTGCCCACCACGGGTATTGAAACCCGATTTCTAGCGTTGTAAGTCCACAGACATATCGCTGTGCCACTGGGGGCCCAACACATGGAAGTTTGAAGTTTTACATTCAAACAGTGATACACGAATGTGATACTTAAGCAATCGGAATACTTTAAAAACCAGCCCTTGTTATATAGTCTAGCAATGCAAGAAATCAAGTACGCATAAAAGAGCAAAAGCAAGAAAACTAAATGAGTAAAGAGTCGGTTTTCACAATAGAATATCGCAGATTGTACCGCACATTGTAGCAGTACAATAAGTATGATATTCAAGACAAAATAACAGCTCTAAAACTACATGATTATCTCGTCATGAATACGGCAAAACAAGTAATCCGGGTTCTACATAGCACTGTTCAGAAACCAAGCGATTAAATTGCCGAAAACTAATAAAACTCTAAACCTACAAGAATAGAAAGACAGACAAAACAACAAATGTCGGAAATACAACAAATATCCAGATTATAGCACAGTTCAGAAACTGTACGAATAAAAAGCCAGTCAACAAAACAGCTAGCACCGTCAGAAACAGTACGAATAAAAAGCCAGTCAACACAACAGATAGCACAATTCAGAAACAGTATGAATAAAAAGTCAGTCAACAGAACAGATAGCACAATTCAGAAACAGTACGAATAAAAAGCCAGTCAACAGAACAGATAGCACCGTCAGAAACAGTACGAATAAAAAGCCAGTCAACAGAACAGATAGCACCGTCAGAAACAGTACGAATAAAAAGCCAGTCAACACAACAGATAGCACAATTCAGAAACAGTATGAATAAAAAGTCAGTCAACACAACAGATAGCACAATTCAGAAACAGTATGAATAAAATGTCAGTCAACACAACAGATAGCACAATTCAGAAACAGTACGAATAAAAAGTCAGTCAACACAACAGATAGCACAATTCAGAAACAGTATGAATAAAAAGTCAGTCAACACAACAGATAGCACAGTTCAGAAACAATATGAATAAAAAGCCAGTCAACGCAACAGATAGCACAATTCAGAAACAGTATGAATAAAAATCCAGTCAACACAACAGATAGCACAATTCAGAAACAGTATGAATAAAAAGTCAGTCAACACAACAGATAGCACAGACTGGCTTTTTATTCATACTGTTTCTGAATTGTGCTATCTGTTGTCGTTGACTGGCTTTTTATTCATACTGTTTCTGAACAACGCAACAGATAGCACAATTCAGAAACAGTATGAATAAAAAGCCAGTCAACGCAACAGATAGCACAATTCAGAAATAGTATGAATAAAAAGCCAGTCAACACAACAGATAGCACAGTTTAGAATCGATCAAGGATACAGATGAAGAGTAGCTCTTTAATACAAATATTGTTTTACAATAAACTATTAAACTTAAACTGAAATGATTATACATTTTATTGTAATACAATACCTGAAGCTTCAAATGTTTAAACAGTTTTATTATCAAATACACGGTAGTTGTGTGACCAGCTGTATACATTTACTGGGCGAGAAGCTGGACATAGTTTACTCAAACATCGGTTTTCCTAAATTCAACTTGAGCTTTGTATATATATTCAGTTTCATAAATACTTTAGCTTTATTGAAAGGGATTTTTTATTTTTATTTTTTGAAGGAAAAGAAACATTACTACTATCAGTTAATCATTCATAAGCCTTTACAATATTTTTGTCTCCACTATATTTTCTTGGTTCCATATCGTGATAAGGGAGTGCCATGTTCATGACTCGTTATTCGTGAGTTTTAAAGCTGTAATTTTATGCTGTGTATTATATATATGTTTTATTGTCTCACTGTATAATCACTTAATTTCCTGACAATTGAAATTGGTTGAAAACAAAAGGCTTTTTATCAAGATACAGATAAGCTTTACGTATGCTATATAATAACCTTCTTCTCAAATTATTTGAACGTTTTTTAAATTGATTGTTCTTACAAGATGTGGAATTCGTCAGTTCAACGTATAAGCTCCCTGATTCTACACCCAACCCTAACTCTCATCAGTAACTAGTGCACAAAACAGTTCATCTTATAACCCAGGAAAATATTAAATTTTATAAAATGAAAATGTACAATACGCCTGTAGGGAATCTTAATCTAGACTCTAGAGCTCAATGTTTCACTAAAGAAAGTACAAAAGAACATGTGACATCATAAGTCACTACCATCAGATAACTTCATGGTGAAACATTATATATATATATATATACTGTATATCTCGTTCGAATCACTTATTGAAAAGTCACTTATTGGAAAAGTACGCCAGTCTTGTTAACTTTGAATATTGGAAATATGTACTTTGCTGAAACACTAGTGTACGAATAACTACTATATATAAAACTATCTGGAGTACCCGTCCTCTGGACGGAAGTTATGTAAATTCAGGATTAATGAAAG